TCTCCCATTGAACCAGCGAAAAACCCAGCATTCAGCACTTTCCCTTAGGCCCTAAGGGCGACTACTGATATAGATAAGATGTGAGAGAGATCACTATAGATAAACACCAATCAATCTACCGATAACAACCTGATCGCTGTCCGAGAATGCCGGGCGTTGAGTATCGCATCAGCGCCCGCCGTTGATGGCGTCGGCAACGCTGCTTCTCGCGTTGTCCGGACCCCGCGTGACGTCGTTGCTGACGGCGCCGACGCCCCGCGCCCCGGGCGCTCTCCCGCCCGCCCCATCCCAATCCGGTAAGTAGTACCTCGGGTACCAGGATGCCCTCCCCCGACGGGCCATAGCTCCTCTCCCCCTGCCCCGATTGACATCGTTCTTTTTGTATTGTGTGCGCATTACATGGGGCTATATAATACACTTTGTCCGACGCTTATACGTATAGTATTCGTTTATACAGTCAAGGAATACACTCAAGGGCACTTTATGAGACAGTACCTCCGCTGTAGGGACATATAATGGCATGTAAAATGTCCGTAAGCCGTTCCCCTATATAGCTATAGCATATCGCTACTGAGGGAGTATTTTTGCGCGCACTTTGGACCAGCGGAAGCGATGGAGTACCTCGTCCTCCCGGTGGTGGACATGCCTTCACTCCTGACCTCACCCAGCTACTGCACGCCTGGCGCGCACAGATTTGGCTATATTACACGGTGTAATAGTAATATATTGAACATATAACGGAGTTACAGGTCCGATAAAGCCTCCCATATGAGGAAAGATCACATCGACTACAAAAGGTATGTTTCGAACACATATCACATAATATGTAGTGCTCCTCTTCCGTAGTACTCCCCATACATACCCTCAAAAGACGGAATAGCAAATACGCACAAATCAAGCCAAGTTTCATGATTTTAGGGGAAGAACTGATGGAGATATGGTCTGAACACTGTAGATGTGCACCACTTGTGCAGGACATGCACCACATTTTCGTGCACAGACATGCACAATGTGTGTTCCCGGTGACTGTTTTGAGCATATCTCCTGCAAATCTTCATATAAATTCATGATCTTTGCTGCAAATTGTGCGTACAGCAAAGGGCATTCTGTCCCTACACCTCCAATTGGGATAGTGCAGTGCAAAGCCCGTATAGTTTGTAATATTCACCCTAAACACACCCCTTATGGTGAAAGTGATTTATCTTCGTGTAAAGACACTTCTGGGACATATGGTCTGCAGGAATGCCTTTCAATAGCTTCTGTTAATGGAAAATGCTGTTATATCATAGGCCGCCAAGG